TTTTTTTTTTTTTTTTTTTTTCCACTATCCGTGCTCTTTCTCTCACCTCACCTCACCTCTCCTCACCCTTTGCACATCCTCATCCCATATTTAACTGCAACCCGTCCTAATCCTCATGGGTATTGTTGTTGCTGAAAACCTTCAAGATCCTGCTTCGGTCTGATTCTTCTCCAAGTGGTCCTGCAAAATCCCGAGGTGGGTCCTCAGAGTAAACACTCCGATGCTTAAATCAGCAATAATCGGGCTACCTTTAGAGTGGAGATAAAAGGAGCTTAGGGTTGGTTTCAATTACCCTTTTGAGGTGGCTCTTGGGGGGTATTTATAGGCCTTCGTGAGGTATCCACGTGGCTTGGTCTACCCAATAATGGTGACATGTTGTGCCTGACGGAGTAGGCGTTTTAGGTGAATGTAACGTGCCTTAACGGAGCAACCGCATTAAATGCGCATGTAACGTTCTGACGGAGCAGGTCCCTTGAGAAAGGATGCTCAGGTAAGGACAAATGATCAGATGGGGGCGTGTCTATTGTGGCTGCCATGTACTTACAGCAAATAGCCGAGGTGCGGTAGACTCTGAGTTCTGCGACTAAAGTGCGGTAAGCTCTGAGCTCCGTTGCCGAGGTGTGGTAGACTCTGAGTTCTGCGACTGAGGTGCGATAAGCTCTGAACTCTGCAGCCGAGGTGCGGTAAGCTTTGAGCTCTGCAGCAGAGGTGCAGTAAGCTCTGAGCTCTGAACTTTGCCTTGCGTCTCGCGTATAACTGCCCTTACACTATTCCCCCCCCCCCAAAGTCATTCACTTGTGAATGATAAAGGGAAGATGGGAAGTGTATGAATAATAAGAATGTGTGAGATTGAGTGGTGGTGTGGTTGACTAAGTAGGGTGACGTATGCTTTATGGCCATAGGCGAGATAACGCTGTTGGCATGGAGTCAATACGGCAGAGGCCGAAGTTAACCTGAGATTCGGGCCCAGGCCGAAGTGAAGTGGGTGACTTGAGGTCACCATGGCTGAAGCCGAGATAAGAGTGGTGACATCGGGTCACTATGCCGAAGCCGAAATAAAAATTGGTGACACGGAGTCACTATGGCCGGAGCCGAGATAAACATTGGTGACACGGGGTCACTGTGGCTGGAGCCGAGATAAACATTGGTGACACGAAGTCACTATGGCAGGAGTCGAGATAAACATTGGTGACAAGAGGTCACTAGGCCGGAGCCGAGATAAACATTGGTAACGCGGGGTCACTTGGCCGGAGCCGAAGTAAAACATGTGACGGGGTCACTGTGGGCCGGAGTCGAAGTGAAACGTATGACACTGTGGTCACTGTGGCCAGAGCCGAAGTGAAACGTGTGAAACTGCGGTCACTGTGGCCGGAACCGAAGTAAAACATGTGAAACTAGGTCACTGGCCAGAGTTGAAGTAAAACATGTGACGGGGTCACTGTGGGCCGGAGCCGAAGTAAAATAGGAGATTGGGGGTCAGTATGGCCGAAACCGAAGTAAAATATGTAACTCGGGACCACTATGGTCAGAGCTGAAAATGTGACTCGGGGTCACTATGGCCGGAGCCGAAGTGGAACTGGTGACCCATGGTCACTATGGCCGTACTTGAAGTAGAACTGGTGACTCGTGGTCACTATGGCCGTAGTCGAGGTAGAACTAGTGACTCGTGGTCATTATGGCCGTAGCCAACGTAGAAGTGGTGACTCGAGGTCACTATGGCCGTAGCCAAGGTAGAACTGGTGACTCGTGGTCACTATGGCCGTAGCCGAGGTAGAACTGGTGACTCGTGGTCACTATGGCCGTAGCCGAGGTAAATAATGATGACTGGAGTCATAGCGGCTGGAGCCGAAGTAATAAGTAATGACCGAAGTCATGTGGCTGGAGCCGAGGTAATAAGTAATGACCGGACTCATGTGGCTGGAGCCGAGATAATAAGCAATGACCGGAGTCATAAGGGCCGGAACCGAAATAAAACATGACACTAGGTCACTGTGGCCGGAGCTGAAGTAAAGCATGTGACTAGGTCACTGTGGCCGGAGCCGAGGTAAAACATGTGACACTGGGTCATTATGGCCGTAGCCGAAGTAAAGCATGTGACACTGGGTCACTATGGCTGGAGCCGAAGTAAAAAGCGTGACGCTGGGTCACTGTGGGTCGGAGTCAAAGTAAAACATGTGATACTGGGTCACTGTGGACCGTAGTCGAAGTAAAGCATGTGACACTAGGTCACTGTGGCCGAAGCCGAAGTAAAACATGTGATTGGGTCACTATGGCCGTAGCCGAAGTAAAGCATGTGACAGTGGGTCACTGTGGGCTGTAGCCGAAGTAAAGCATGTGACACTGGGTCACTGTGGGCTGGAGCCGAAGTAAAAAGTGCATGACCCATAGTCGTGTTATGGTTGTAGCTGAGAATGATGACCTGAAAATGACGACTCGAAAGTGACAATTTGCAACCTCATGAGCCATATTAATGGAAGTCAGACTTCTGAGAGTCATGCTCTATAGAGCTAGGATCAAAACCAGTTTTTGTAGAGTTGATTGAATGCCAATTTTGATAGCTGGAGATACCTACCACAGAATCCCACCTTGAGATGCCCATAAGAAAATCTTGGTCTTTCGAGTCATAGCATAAAATCAAACCCTTTTGAGGGTTGTGCTTTGCAAAGTTAAGATTGAACTGAGCTTTCATAGAACAAATGAGTTGAGAAGCTTATAGTTGATGGACGCAAGCTCTTGTAGATCGAATGGGCTAAAAAAGCCAATAGCTAATGGGCTCAAAGGCTAATAGTATTTTCTGATGAACTGATAAGTTTAAAAGCTGATAACGTATTTCTGAGTCTTCCAAGCCAAGGAGTTAACAAACTCATGAGACCTGTAAGAATTCATTCTAAACATAGAACTTGACATGATACCATTAGTTCATCAATAATCAATAATATATGAGATGCATCAACATTAAAGTGGCACAATAATTTAAAATTAAATATAAATGTTTGTGGCATGAGTCATCAAAATAAATAATGCTAAAATATGAGTTTCAAAATATATTCAAGCAGCAAGTTAAGCACATGCCAAGTAAAATGTGAGTTTATTTTTGTTGCTTATGTATTCCTACTCCCCCTCTCAAAGAGAGATTTATCTCTTTAAGTTAGAACTAATAATAAAGATGACTAGTTCGTGGATACCATTAGCTTGTAAATTATTCCACCATTTGCATGAGGCTCCACAAATGTATTAATATAAATAAATGTCATTTAAGCCACTCACTTTTAGTTGAAACATGAAGAATATATTTAATAAATAAGGGCTTAGCATATCTTATTGATGAATGGCCCATGAGAGATGGAACACAAGATAGTTGGTGAAATGGCAAGCTGGTTGCAAGCTAGACCTGAGCTCAGCTGTCGTAAGGATGAGCTCAAGCAGTTGAGTTCATTCAAGGTTTACCTCATCCAAGGTAGTTGGCCTTGGAAAGGGCTATCGTGAAGATGAGCTCAAGCAGTTGAGTTCATTCGAGGTTGCTTACACCATCCAAGGGAGTTCACCTTGAAATGGGTTGCCATAAGGATGAGCTCAAGTAGTTAAGTTCATCCGAGGTTGTTTACACCATCCAAGGGAGTTCACCTCGGGATGGGTTGTCATGAGGATGAGCTCAAGGAGTTGAGTTCATCCGAGGTTGCTTACCTTATCCAAGGTAGTTGACCTCGGAAAGGACTATTATGAGGATGAGCTCAAGTAGTTGAGTTCATCCGAGGTTGCTTACCT